TCTATATTGGGACTTAAAGCAAATGTTAAAATAAAGTCAGAAACATTAAAAGGTTCTTGTGAGTGACACTTCATGAGAAATGATGCCATCAGTCCTGTGGTTAGCTTGTTTCCAGTCAGGTATGAAGTAGAGGTTCAGGTTGTGTGGTTGTGTGTTGCATACAAAAGCATGATTGTGGGTTTCAGAGTGTGTTTTTGAAGTTATCTCTGCAGACTTTTTACACTACATGTGACTAATAACAGGCTTTCTGTGAGAAGTTACCTTTATTGGTGTAGAGGACTGGAAACACTTTCCTGAAGCACAGCACGATGTCGACCTTGAACATGTAGTAGACGACGACACTGATGATGAAGAAAACCATCAAACAACCAAACACGGAACCGATGGGAATCAGGATGTTTGGATCTGCAGAGACAAACATCACAGAACACCTTCAGAGAATTTCTTCAAATTTGGTGCAAATGTTTATTTGAACTCTTGGATGAACCGATTCGATTTTGGAGGTTGACGGTCAAAGGTCAAGGTCGCTGTGACCTTACAATTACGCGGTCAGTTTTGTGAACACAACATCTTGAAAACACCTTGAGGGAATTTCTTCAGATTTCGTGCCACTGCTCACTGGGACTCAAAGATGAACTCATTCGATTTTGGGGGTCAAAGGGTCAAGGCCACATGTGACCTCACAAAACCCTGTTTTGCCTCGTGAACATGTTTTTTTTAAGAACGCCTGAATAGAGTCATTTCATATTCGACACAACTGTTCACGTAGACACAGAAATTAACTGGTTAGATTTGGGTTGTCAAAGTTCAAGTTCATGATGGCCTCACAAAACATGTTTTGCCCTCTTGGATTCAATTCAATTTTATTAAATTTTATTTGTATAGCGCCAAATCATAATATCTCAAGTCTGCCTTCAGGGAATTTCTTTAAATATTGGAGAGCTGTCACTAGGACTGATTTCAGTGGTCAAAGGTAAATGGTTGGTGGAGGTATGCAACTGCAGTTCATTTGTTTTTTTTGGAAGGAGGTGTATTGTGGGTTTTGTACCTGGTGGCATCAAAATAAAATATGCTTGAGGATGGCCACGGCCACTCTGCGCTTGACAAGTGAAAGTGATGTTGAAATCTTCCTCCCTCAGCTCAGTAAATGTCAACACAAGCTCCATCCAAACACCTTTGATGGGAACCTCTTGGAACCTAAACCTGGGGGGGGGAACAGACAGATATAAATAAAGAATATTTATTTCACATTTAGCCTTAACCCCAGAAGCAGCGGATCACAGAAGTTAAACAAGGAAAGGAAGAAGGACTGACGGATGGACTGTTGTGTAGACACGGTCGGAGGGGGCGGAGCCATCGATGATGTTGGATTTGGCAGACCAAAAGATGTCAACGAAGGGCAACCCAACACCCGGAACAAAGACACTGCACAACTGGCTGAAACTGCTTCCTAAACACATACAAAAACAGTGACATCAGTTATTTTTCCATTTTTGCTTTCTATTATTTTCCAATTTACACAAACTGTAAGTTAGGTCCAGAAAAATGGTTCTGTTTTGACAATCTAGAACTTATGGAAGAACCCTAAGAAACAAAAAAGGAGTAGAATATATTTGTTTAATGTTACAGTCCAAATGTTAAAATGTAATGTAGATATGTCAACCCAAGACACAAAACAGTACGTCAAGGTCATTGTCGATATTTCAAAATTTTAAATGTATCCTTGAAAACATGTCCCCTGTCTAATTTGTTTGGTTGTTTGCTAATTAAGCCCTTATACCTTCGTGAGACAGGATTTTACAACCCTATAATCATTTATGGTTTATGGTGTATTTCTGTAGACAAGGACTCACCTATCTGTGCACTGATTGTTCCATTGGTTGGTTCATGAACTTGTGGAACCATTGAGTGCTCTTCTGAAAACACAGACAATATGAAAGACTGTAAAAGCCTGTTTCTCATCATGAATATATATGAAGCATCCGGAATAAGATCCAAGATTTAACGGAATTTTCACGATAATCCATCCAGCAGTTTTTGAGTAATCCTGTTAACTAACGCAGACGAACATATAAAGTACATTTCATGATATAGTTTTTTGGCATACAACAAGAAATGAACAATTAAATTGATGTTTTCTTCATTTCAGGTTGAAGCCCTCTCTTGCGAACTAGCTTTTCTCACCTCTGACCCATGCGTCAATCGTCTCCGACACGGATCCCGTGACGCCTCCGAGGGTGAAGTTCAGAGTGCAGGTGTAGGTGTGGTTGTTTTGAGCGTTCACCTTGTTGATCAGCAGCATGGTCTTGGTCAAGAAGACATATTTACCTTTTCCATGAACTATGGGCTCACAACCCTAGATGAGAGATGAATGTAAAAGTCAGGAATTTTTTAATTACAACATGTAGAGAAAAACGAATTGGGTGGTCTGGAGCCCAGTGGATCCAGGTTTTCTCAACGGATTGACAAAATGTAAATGACTGAATGAACACTGTCTCTATTTTTATATCACTCGTAATGGCCTACTGTAATAATCTTTTCTTTGTAATCGACAAATGAGGAACTAGTTACAGCATGAGTGGTGATAGACAAACTACGACAGAGTATTGAGGCCATGTGAAGAAAAAAAAGTTCCAAGATTTTTTACAATAATGTCGTAATATTAAGATAACGTGACTTTTCCTTGATAAATAACAACTTTATTCTTGTAATAATGTGACTTTTCCTCTTTAAATTAAGAATTTATCCTGCTATTGTTATTATAATTTTCCCGTTAAAATACCACTTCTTTTTCTATTATCAAGACTTTTTTTCTTCTTAAATTACAACTTAATTATTGTAATCATCATGACTTTATTATTATTATTATTATTATGACTTTAGGATTTAGTTTCCCCTTTAAACAGCCCTAATACTCAGAAAAGGGCGCCACCTACAGAAAGTTAAAGGAAGTCTCAAACAAACAGAGAGCTGGTTGAAATGGTGGCAGTAGAGTGTCAAAGAGATTTAAGTGAAGCGATGGAGAAAACTCACTCTGTGCCACGTGATGGAGGAGCTGATGTTGTAGCTGTCCAGTTTATAGATGTAGTTCTTTAGAGGACAGGACAGGTTGTCATTGACGCCTTTTGTGAGAATTTGACCACTTTTATGAGGCCTCCCACACTCTCCAGGCAGATCAACGACCAGCTTGGTGGCCTGTCTGTAGCACCGAAAAGGAGTTCTGTTGGAAAATGAAGGAGATAATTATGAACTTCCTTTCTCACTACTTTTAATTTAGCAATGAGCTGATGAACCACGAGCTTGTGGAGGCTAAAAATAACAAAACCACCTGTCAAACCTCCAACCCAATAAAACGTCTCAGCCATAACAATCTAAACCCAGAGTCCATCTCTATCTGATACTGCCCTCTGCTGGACCGTGGAATTTCCTCAAATGTTCCTTTATAGAGTTTAACTTTAATTCAGATAAGGAACCGTTTGAAAATTTGGTTTGAATGTTTGAAATAGTGTTGTGAACAGGAATTTGCACAATGAAGACAGACAAACACATCAGGATCAATTTTCTCTTGCTTCCTTCAGCTTGTTTTGATATTTCCATCACTGTACCTCAGTATGGTCACATATTCCCCGTTGTCGTCCAGCGTTATTTTCAGAAACCACAGAGTGTTCCCTCGCACGAGGACTCGACCCGGCTGGTCGCTTATCTCTTCTCCCGTCTTCGAGTCGTACCAGGTGATGTTGTACGGGACGGTGTGGAAGTCGAAGACTTCTGGAGACACCAAGGTGCTGTTCAGCATCGCCATTTCCCCGGGAACGGAGAAAACTTTCTCAAACTGGAGTTGGTAGTTGGTACAGTTCCCTTCCACTAAATACGGGAGAGATTTGTCTTTTATTCAGTCAGTCATAGAGCTTACAGAAACCTGTTCTAGCAAGTAAAGGTTGTCAGAAAAAGCCAGGCTGCTTTGTTTATAGATTTAATTCCAAAAATTGTTTTCAGAGAAAAATTTCCATTTCAGCCCCAAGGTTTAGAGCTGCCCAGAGGACACTGAGCCTGACTTCCAGTATTTTTCCATGATGCTCTTCATCGCTTATGAATGTTTTCATGTCTCTGATTCAGCTGAAACTAAAATGACTGGTCAGTGTGTGATGCAATAATTTAACAGATGTAGGTTTCCCATTGGTGCAGAGAATGTATGTGGTCAGCACAATCCTGTAGAGTTAAATGTTGTTGGCTGGTTGAATCCCAGCTCATCCACTACAGAGAATATAATAGAATTAAAGAAAGACTCATCATTGAATAAGGGTAAAGTTTATAAAATACAAGTTTAAAATCCCAGAAAAGACACAAACCAATTCAACTAATAAATGAAGCTTCCTATTTGTTATTGCACAGAATGGATATTGTACTTAAAAATGAAGTGAATGTACGTGTCACCATAACATATTTATTAGTTTAGAGCTAGAGTTGTGACGACACGTTACACATGCAGCTGCATCAAAGGTCACAAGATGGCGATACAATGCTTTTGTACAGACTTAAGGACTGAGTTAGGCACATAGTTCAAAAACAAGAAATATAAAACGTATTAGAAAAGAAATGTGTGTGTGAGAGAGAGAGACTCACCTTGTAGGAGTCCTGAACAGATCCCATACAACCCAAAGAAAAAGAGGAGGCTTCTGAGTGTAGGAGTCTGGCTCATGGCTGAAAATCACACACATGAGCAAATGTAAGAAATGTGCTGCAAGACACGGTAAAAAAAAAATCCTGCTACAAAACAAACAGCTGACCACACTTCACTGTCAATCACAGCAATGATCAGCAAAATCAGTTTTCACTTCATTCTACCTCCTCTTCTCAAACACTCTCTCCTCTGTCTCCCTGCCTTCCTACTCTCTTAGCCACAGAAGTAGATCACAATCGTTCTGGTATTTTTGAAGAGTCATTTATTGAGAAACCTCCAACAGAAGGTGGCGTGTGAGTTCGGAGCTGGAGAGAAGCCCAGCATTCCTGAAGTCCGCTCATTTACGAGTGAACATTCCTCCACAGAAGCTGTCACTATAATGAACTCTACGAACATGCTTCCTTTTTTTGCTCAAAATGTACAACTACCCCAGTCAGTCGGGTTTTTGTGTGTGTGTGTGTGTGGGTGGGTGTGTGTGGGTGTGTGTGTATGGCCAAGGTATGACTCATATTGTGGAAAACTTCGTACTCAGTCACACTATGTCTTTTTTGGGGAGGAGGTATACAACTTTTGTGGGAAATTATGGGGAAAAGAATTGATTAAATGTTAAGGTGAAGCAACATATTGAGGTTAGGTAAGTGGTAGTTATGAATAAAGATGTGCCTCCAGGGAAAGCATGTTGGTAAATGTAAACTCCACTGATGTCACGGAGACTTGTTGAGACATTACACTTCTTCTGCCCTCTACTTTTGGCATGAAACGGCAGTATGATCGGAGAACATGGTTGTTAATAGCAATGAGGCGTAAATCCGGTGACAATGAGTGAATCACCCTGTTAAGAAAACATTGCTCCAGAGAAAATGAACATTTCATGATAAGCTTTAAAAACTATTAAAATAATAAACTACTAGAATGAGGAGGATTCTTGGAGGATTGTTTCAGTGCAAAAGTATTTCCTGTACTAGTAATGTGTATTTATCATGTACCACAGTATCTTCCACAGTTTTCATGACTCGCTCTTTATCATAAACTGTTAAATTGGTTGCAGGCACAGAAGCTGTGACCTTGGTGTGAGACCTGAATCAAACAGGAAAGGTTTCTATAACGACGGATGTGATCTAACCACATCTTCCACCACACACTCCTACTTTGCTGGCAGTTACACGTTAGTGGGTATCTTACCACAGATACTGTGATATGTGTATTTAAGGAAGCTAGAAACGGTGAGTTATAGATCTTTTGTGTTTAATATATCTAAGCAATCTGGTTTTAATCACAATCCAAGATCAGCTGCATGTGTTATCATATGTCATTATGACATTGCATTGTTACAATATTAGCACCCCAGTAAACAAGTGGAAGCCCCTGAAAAATCCTGTGGGGTAAACACAACATGTGTAAGGTTACACATCGCCGCTCACATGCTTTTTCATTTCAAACTGGTTGATACATACTGAAGTGTATGGAGATGAGTGTTCATAGAATTATGCACAACACATATAGAACATTTCAGTTACACATAATGTCTTTGTCTTTGCCTGAGGTTGCTCGTATCAGTCAGACTCTTTCCTGTGCAGTTATAACAGTAGCAACAAAATGAGAGAACAGATAAACGAGAGGAAAATGATCTAAACCTCAGAAACTGCACCTGTCCCCACAGGAAGAGCCTCCGCTGAAGGAAACAACGCTCTGTAGATCAGAGGTGCGCTGGCGGCTTGTCTGCATGTAACAGTGAGGTACTGCAGGTTGTGAGGTTTTGCTGTTCACTCATTTTAGATCTGTATCTAGGAAACGATGATAGGAGATTTCACATCTGACATTTGGTCCAAACATCCATTCGACATGGAGACTGACAGGTAACCCTGAGATTTTTTGTTAAGATGATTGATGATAAACATCGACATCCCTCATCTGCTCTCACAGAACAATAATAAAATCTCTTTATTTGTTTATTTCGTCTCTAACTTTTGAATTCGTGCTAAAATCACACCTTTTTTCACACCTCCAGTTTATTTATTTATTAAAATGTCATAATAAGGGGATGTTTTCAAATTGCTTGTCGTATTTAACCATAGAGTCCATAATAATTTCCGTTTTGATTGAAACACTGAAAATGTATGTTAACGTATGGATTAGGGTTACATTTAAAACTTAGCTGTAAGAGCAGGAGGACGATTAGAGATATAGTTTGTCTGTGCACATTACTTTTATAGATTTAAACTTCCGAGTCTGAATGTTGTTAGGGAACCAGAATTTCAGGAGAGCTGAGGCAGCATAGTTTCGCTCTGGGACAAGTCCAGGCGGAGAGGAGCGTGGGAAGAGCGAGGCCGGTTCAGCGGAGCATAGACGTGGGAGAGGACAGGGGAGGATGAGGGGAGCGTAAGTGACTCAGTTACATGGAAAGACAAGTCATGTAAATGTTTTGACACGTTACTTTATGGGTTTGATGACTTCCAATTTAAATGTACTTTTAATTTGATCATTAACAAGTATTGACAGATCGTAAAATGACTCAGCTGGTGGTTATAGTATAACCATAAAATAAATAAAACGTAATAATTTTATATCAGAGCTCCTTATCTTTAGGACTTGTCTTCTCTCCCACGTGTTATGATCAACTCACTCCCTGACCATATTTTCCCTGCACTCCTCCCTTTCCGTATCAACGTCTGCATTTCAAGCCGAAACTGATATTTCTACATTAAAAGACGATTTTGATTGCAGCTGTAAATCTACAGAAAGTGATGACAAGAATTTCTTTGACGACTACTTTTATGTTCCTTCACCATACATTTTGTCTTCTTCCACTTCTTGCACTTTCCAATTCATGCAGCATCATCATTTCATTAGATGAGCACAAATATCTGTGCAGTTTTCCCAGTTGTCAGGCCGGGCCGGGGTTGGACAAATATTTTGAGTTGATATTTGGGTCGGGGACATGGACATGGGCTGATAATTTATCCTGCACATGTCTGTAATCGCAGAAAACAAGCAATAGCTGTGAATGTGTGTCAGGGGCAGGGTGACACAGAGTCACTGTAGTTTACATGAACTACATCAGTTCCCGAGTCCCTCTCTGCTACATGTGGTCCCCAAGGACTAGAAGGGGAAAAGTATTGGGAGGCAATGTAATAGATTATGTGAGGTAACGCAAAAACAATCCTTTAAAAACGTCTCGTTTCAGCACACAAACGCACGTAAAGCTTATTTCTGCTATCTTACTATATTGCATGGACTTTCTCTATGTGTGTATGTATGTGCTATTCCACATATCTCAAAAAACATTCATCCCATCTACCTCCACTTTGGTTAATCAGGTGTTGATTTGTGAATTTGGCCACTCAAAACCTTTTTGAACCAGAACGTCTCTCAGAAGAGCACAAACCTCCACCAAGGCCCAACTGTCGGCCTTGACTTCTATCAAGCCGCACCAGACAAGAGAATGTGTGGAAGTGTTTGTTCTATAAATGTCGTCTTCAGAGGATTGAGCCTCTGGGAAGTGACACAATGTCAACTTTCGGATTTGGAAGAGACTACTGCTGGATTCCTCTCAGACACCAAACAATCGGATGATGATGACAGAAGTTTCCTTTGACTGGTGATAGCAGATGGTGGAAGGAGGGAGAGGCTGGTGGAAATATCATTACCATGTGTTTATCCTCTACGGGGGGGGGGGGGAGAGCAAGGTTGCTGGGAAATGACAGAGATATCTTTTAGTCAGAGTGTTTTTCAACATATTTAATTGATTTCACAGAAAGTTTTCATGGATATTAATGAAAAAGTCCAGCATGTTTAAGGGACTTGTTTTTATGAGTGCGTTGTATTTGTTGCAGATCTAAATAAAAAATCCAGTGACTGTGGTTTCATAAGATCCCTGCCAGAGAGCCCTAACGGTTGCTGAGTTAATTTCACACATTCATGTGACAGTGACATGTTGTAAACTGAGATTTACACACACGCTGTTGGGAAATGTCCCAGAATTTGTGTTTGCGTTCTGCTCGGATGTGTTGTCCCGCAAATCTGCTCAGTCAAGCAAACTTTGTCCATCTGTTTGTGGGACAGCGGTTGCACCACCGACAGGAGAGTGATCACAGGTTCAAGGTCTCCAGAGTACATCGCTGGTCAATAAACAACGTGAACCTAATGTTGTTTTCTTTTAAATCAATGTTATGTAAGCAAACCTAGGGATGAAGTACACGAATAAAGAATATTTGACAGATTTGAGTGAATTTCCTAGTTTGAGTATTAAAAGAGTGACAGTATGAGTCACCACCAACATGCAGATAATCATCATGATTCACTGATGAAATAAACGTGAGGCGGCCGCAGCAAAACGCGCCCCGGCTGCTACTGTGTGACTGAACGACCACCACAACATGACACAATGAGCCTGTGCATTTATACAAGGAAGTGAAATAGTGCTGCTGCATTATTTTACCATTGCTATCATCAACTAAGCTAAGTCTATATTCTGTGAACAAAATGACCACTACGTGCAAAATTCTTGTTTTAACAAACCAACGCAAAGATGATATTGGAAAAGTGTTTTTCATTTTCACTGCTGATAAAGCTGCTGTTTTAAGCCCTGATATGATCTACGGAAACAAACATGAGACAAATATCATCTCAGCTTTAAGATGCTTTTGGGCAACGGGACTCATGTGATATGTTCCTAAAGCAGTGGGGGAGAAGGGCTGAGCGAAGCAGAAGTTTTAGGGGAAGAGGATGTGACCCCGGGTTACGATGGAGAATTGAAACACTTCAGTGCACGTCCTCAATACAAGCTGCAGCAAGTTGTTTAGATGACTGTCACACTGTGCTTGAGAGTCTGCAGGTCTCTTCCAGGAAAGCTTTGTTTGCTTGGAGCAGATGGTTTGCAAATAAGGACTTGCTGAGAAAAGATTATTTTGCATGACAGTTATCTAAATGCACATTAAATATCTGCTCAGGACTATTTTGTTCTGCAGACAGGAAACTGGCAATTAAAAGCACACACATATGACGATAATAAATCACTTTATTTTTAACTCTCTCTGGGAAAATATCTATGAAATTAAAGATGCGGTATCAGCAGCCGCGGGAAACTTACAGCAGCAAAAACTCTACTGATAGGAAGGAAAAACAGCGTGGGAATATTCTGCTAAAGATGAAATATATCAGCCCACGTGGAAACTGCAGATGTTGGAAATATCCAAATATCAATCTTCTGAATGAGGGTTGATGGGCACGATGCTGAACTCCTGTCAAACACTCATTTAGTTCGTTCAATGGGAAAACAAAATGAGAAACCCCATCGACCGCGCAGCACGAGAAAGTGACAGAGTGTTGTCTTTCACTCGGAGGGCGTACCTGGGGTTAGTTTGAAGTTTCTTTCTCAGTAATGAACATGCCTTTTTGGTTTTGTGGTGAGCTGCTCTGCGAGATGACCAACATATTTAGTCATTTCTGCATTTTGCCCCATGGCTCTGAAACTACACAGATCAGAGAGCACCAACAACCGACTGTACAACAGGCTGGATTTCCAACTCCAGTCAGCGGCAGTGATGTAGAGCTGTGAAAAAGTCCTGCAAAAATTAATTAACCCTAAAAAAACCAAGTTACATATGAGACCAAGGTATGAGCGAATTAAAGCAACAATAAGTTGTTTTTTTACCTTCAAAATAACAGCGTGCCATAGAGAATGGCATGTCTGTCATTACCACAGCGCCCCCTGGAACAGCACTATGTAACTCTGGTGTACAGTACTGGAACATTACAACCTGCTTTCCAGCACGTCACACACCACCAACCACACCCAGAGCTCGCCGCTATAGAGACAACTAGCTCTAAATTCTCATTCGGCAATCTCATAATTTTTGCTTGTTGACTTCATCTTGTGCCGTTTGTGCTGCGTGAGCAAAGTTGTTGACTTGCTATCACGAGCCAGGTATTTATTGACAGCAGGGAATGTGCGCATGTTTACTACTAGACACCGAAATGATTGATGGGACAAAGTACATTGATAAAGGGTCTGCACCCAACTGCAGAGAAACCACGTGCACAGCTTCGACAGTCAAACGTAAAGATAAAAGTGAATAAAATGCATTTTTAATTAGACTTCTACATTTTGTTAATTTATCTTTAAGATTTTTTTTAAGATTTCACAGCAATACCACTGATTTAAGGATGCATCACGTCTGTTTGTTTCTTTATACCAGTGTTACCTCAAGTGCGGCCCGCAGCCAGTGGAAATGGTTGGTTTTGCAAGTGGGTCTCTAACTTGGCTTTAAAAAAATGTATTTGGCAAATTCATCAAAATATATGGTAATAATATGGGCAACAACAACAACAACAATATATATATATATATATATATATATATATATAATTGACTTGTGAACAGAAAGTGGGGCTTCACAATAAAAGCCGAAATGGTAGTTATTCTGAGATCACAATCATTTGTGATTATTCTTTAGTTTTAAGGACAAAATATTTTCCTTGCATCTCATTTTTTAATTCCTTCAGTAAGTGGTGTGTTCAGTTTCTAAGAAAGCACAAGTCTGGGTTTTGGGCTTTCAGAGGACATGCTGAACTTTCAGGGTTCTTCAAGCGTCCACAAACAGTTTAGGAAGCTCGGATCTACTCCCCCCAGAACAAGACTGAATCGTAACCGGACACAGAAGGAAATGTGTTTGCTTTGTGGTTTGACATTTAAAAAAGCTTTTCTAGCAATGTAAGTAGAGAGGTAGCTGATCAGGGACAAATCATTTGATAGAAGAGTTAATGCAAGAAAAATAAGAAATCAGATACTAAACAGGATTCATATTTTTAAATGGTTGACTCACCTCAGATGAATCAGAGGCAGCGAACAGACGGAGGAAGGATGAATGAGTTTACACAGCTCTGCAGAGTCCACAGCCCAGGCAGTGCCTCAATCGCTCTGTCCCACCTCCACAGGATGGACAGACAAACACACACACACGCACACGCACACACACACACACACACACACACACACACACACACACACACAAACACACACACACAAAGAGGAGGAACAGTTTGTTTACATTCCACCTCTCAACGCCTCTATTCACCTTCCTCTGCATTTCAAAACCACATCCACCAAAAATCTTACGGTAAAAAACATACTCAACATAACGTAACATAGGACAACATAAATCAACCTCAATGGAAATAATCTGAACCTGAACATAAGTACAGACGAAAACTTCCACTGCAGGTTCCTTCACACACAGAAGATATAAAATAAAAGAAAATGTGTGATTATTCGCCTGTTAAAAAGCACAAGTAGTCAGATTTGTTTAGCAGGAAACCTTAAGATAAGGTGAACTCAGGTGAGACACACGAGGACAGGTGCGGACGATCACGAGGGCGGGAAACAGGACAAAAGAAAGGAAATGCGTAGGAGACACAAGGACATTTTCCTTCAAAATAAAATAAGGAACGAGACAACATGAGAGAAAACAAAAGGTCACTTCACAGAGTCAGGGACACGCGTGGAGAGTAACGTGAGATAATGAATGCAACACACATCCAAACACAAACATCCATAGAAACAACACAAAAAGAGTCTTTCGAGAATCCAACAACACGATGAGAAAAACAAGTCGAAAGTCAATAAACACAAAAATTCGAACAACAGGTCAAAAGTCAAAAGCAGCTGGAGCGTCTCTTCGCCACCAGTGAAATCAGTGTTTAATACTTTAATACGTTTAACTTTATTATTGTATACGGCTAAAGACTCTAACCTTTAATTGGAGAGTTTGTCCAAACACTCCTGTGCTGCCGCGTCTCACAATATGTTTATATAAATAGAAATTATTGGCGATGATGTCATCATCAAACCGTCATGACAATAATTGAGCCTTAAACTTTAATATAAGTAATTATAAACGAAAAGAAAACAATAAAAGTTTTCATATTGACAAACTTTAATATTAATACCGTCTGAAAGGCTGATATCGGATGATGATCTCAGCCAAAGGATTAATCAATCAGGCTCTAGTTACAGTATAACATAAACAGTCACCAGAGAACTTCTGTGGTTTCCATCATAATCATAATCTGATCTGAGAGTAGTTCTCTCAGAATCACTGTCAAATGAAGTGCTGTGGTCCAGCAGAGGTTTGAGGACACCGCTGGGCTTCCCCACAGTGCAGAGAAATCCCCCAGGAGAAAGGTTTCTTATAAATAAACCACAACCCTGGTATGAATGTCACTTTTTTTTTTACTTTTCCACAGGATGTGCTGCTGAAAATGTGAACTACACCCACAGCCACAGTGTTACTGTTTGAGCAGCTACATCTCAGAAGCTGGAGTTTCGGTCTCTTGTTAAAAAAAAAAGTGTCAACCACACTTTTTATTTGTTTCGCAGCAGACAAGGGGAAATTCTTTGTGGTTGAACTTCGGAGTGATTATTCCAGTGGTTCTCAGATTATCAATAGGTTTCAGTGTCTTTTGTTGTTCGGCTCATGTTGTGTCGGTAGAGTGAGTGTGAGCTCGTGAAAGTTGATACCTGAGTTGAGGATGTTTAAATTCAATAATTTAAAACACTCAATCAGTCTTCAAATGATAATTCATCAATAAATTAATCAATAAACGTGAATGATGACCGTGACGCAACATCTAGAACACATATAAAGTGTTCGCTGTCGTAAATACAATGCCTTACAACCAAAGATCTTTTTATATTTCTGCCGTCACTTAGTCGCAGTTTATGTCTGAAGTACAAGTACTGATTGGTCAGTGTTTTCACCACGTGTTTCACCTGCTCCAACCTAAAAACATTTAGCCTTTTAATGAACCGATGCACAAAAACTGTGACTGAATAATCAAATTAAAGACAAAGAAATTACGGGGGTTGACAGGTTAAACCGGTCGAGATTAGAATTAGCACAACTCCTCCTAAACTGAAATAACTGAATGGAGATTTAAGCCAAAGTCAAAACCTGCCTGTTTGGAACGGGTTTTCTATGGTGCAGGGTGAAGTTAGAGGAATCTGTGCTCATCCTACCTGGTTTATCTGCAATAAAGCAGATCGTGCATCCGTGATCAACCAGATTCAGAGTTTTTTTTTCATGTTTTCCTCATGTTTTATAGTGAATGGTTTTCATGAAAATGAATAAAATGTCCCTTTAATTTTTAGTATTTAATTATGAGATGAACGGTTCACAAGATACGTGTTCCTCAGACAGACAGACACTTTTACTCTGTGGTCACTGTCCCTGCTGTAACATTGCAAATCTCCCTGTTTGTGGGACTAATAAAGGATCATCTTATCTTATCTTATCTTATCTTATCTTATCTTATCTTATCTACTTGATGGTGATGATTACTCTTTGATTTCTTTGTGTTTCTTTCAGTTTCCAATAAGAGGTGGAAACATCTTCAGGTGGACTTTAGAGTTTTGCTCAAATCGGATTTGGACAAAGTGAGAAAAACAATGTGGTTGAATAAATCATTGATATTGTTCCTGTAATGTCATGATTTGTCCTCGTTCTCTTCCAACACCTTCATCCTTCTCCCATGCGCCAGGATTCTGGAGAGTCAAGTTGGGTTCAGGTCGAGAAAATGATTAGAAGACGCAGCTCTGGGTGACCATGTGCTTTGCTCAGTAAAAGCTTGTCTGACATGACACTGTAAATGTAATATGATCCTGAACGATAACAGTGACATCAGGGATTCTGATTCCAGGTGAAAATGATCCCAGCACTTTCTATCATTCAAAACAGAGAACTCACCAGGTTGATGTTATAACCGTCCATAAAGGCAGCAGCCTCTTCAGGTCACATGAATATCCAATAAAAACATCTTCTTTTTTTTTTTTTAAAAACAACTGAAACCTAAGTTCAGTCGCACCGTCCACAGCTTTGACTTCCTCTTCTGTGAAAACCTCAGCACATGCTGCAATTTCCTTCCATGGGATCTTTTGTAAGTCGGCCAGTGGCTTAATGTGTTGAGCAATAACTGGGAGGACACCAGCCAGGATCCTGTTGTTCATATATGATTCACACATTTCTCTTCACAGTCATTGTCAGTTAACACGGCAGAACTGTTGTTTATCATCTTTTCTGTTTCTAACTCAGTTCTGTCGGATTCATCCAGTCTGGCACATGTTTATTCTGGAGTGTGGAGATACACACCTCGTGTTTTATGCTTAATGTTCACAAGGCTCCATTTTTTAACTCTGTGATCTTGAGACCTCTTGTGGCGGCACACAGAGGCAACTTGAAACACTAGCATATCAGATACCATCACCGAGGCCTACCAGCCTCCTCAGATTCAATCAGGCTGCACCAAATGTAACACTCACAGAAATAGGTTCTCTTAATGTGGCTGGGTTTTTGTTTTTCTTCAAGATCCAAAAATTATTCTCTAAGAAATCAAAGAAAAAGTTGCAAAGTGCCCAATCTCACAATGTTTTAGATTAGATTAGATTAAATATACTTAATTCATCCCACAACAGAGAAATTTATTTATTACAGCAGCAGAAAGAAGGTGTAGTATACACTACAGAATTAAAGTAGAAAGGGTAAAAACACAAAAAACAGACAGAAATATCTATAACCTACACAATAAACAAGAAAACAATCAACCTGCAACAAGACAATGTGCAAAAACAAGTACTGAGGATAAAAAAGTGGCATGATGTAAAAAGTATTTTAATGTAAAGTGACCATAATATGAGTAATATTGCAAAATTAAGTGACCATGACATAAATAATGCTGCAAGGCATAAATGAAATAAAATGAAATAAAATAGTGCAAGTAAAGTGACCATGATATAAATACTATGGCAAGGTAAAGTTAAAGGTCACCTCATGGGGGCACTCTTTCATATCAAATGCTGCATCAGGGTGACACTCATCTGCTTCTAGACCAGTGGAGAATGACCATCGATGTTATTTTGAATTCTCTATCGGTAACTTGTAGATTACAAATGTTCCAGCTCCTAAAATAGAAACACCCGTGTGTGTATTTACTGTTTTGTTATGAACTATTATTTTCAAATGGGATGAAGCATCTGTCTGAGGAAACACATTTATATCAAGTTCTTTTAATGTTAAAAGCATTAGTGTTTACACCATGTAAATAAAGGCTCACTCACTGATGCTGCACACCAGAAATACAAATTCCTGAATATAAACACAACCAATGTAGTTATTTCAAGGGGTGAGACGTTGTAAGAAAAAAAAGGGTGTTAATGAGTCAGTGCGGTGCATTAAGACCTAGGCTTCAATTTATAAAACCGCAGAAGCAAGAAGTTTGTCGAGTGAAGTCAAGTGAGGTCATGTTCATTTACACGTAACATTCAAAACAACATGTGTCGATCCGTGTACTTTAGAATCACGACATGAAAAATGCAGAAGACACAGAAGAAGAAAAATTAACAAGATGAAATAATGGCCGATGTGAAAAGAGTCATAAAACAGAATCAGGCCTAATTAAAATAAAATAAAGATTTAAAAAGGTTTGACTTTAGATATTAAATGATCATGGCCACTGGGTGGAGACACTGAGGCTGGTGGGCCACAAGGTCTCTCTCTCCCTCGCTCTCTCTCTCTCTCAGTTGTTCATTGAAGGAGCAGCTCTTCCAGAGTCATTGTCTCGATGTGATTGTGTGTGTGTGTGTGTGTGTGTGTGTGATGGGGGATTTGCCTCTGGACAGGATGGATGTCGTGTGAAAGTAAGTTCTCATTTTATTTCTGACACACAATCTATTACTGACACTTTCAGAAGATTTAAAAATAATCAAAGCAGTGTCAGAAAATACAAGCGATTTGCAGGACAATGTAAAAATGTATGAGAAGGTGAAAGTTCAATCACTAAGTTCCTATAGAGATAATAAAACAGCATCATGAATATAATAAGCACAACACAAACACATGAGATCAATAATCATATGGGTAAAATATAGAATTAATGACAATTGTTATTTCTATATTGTTTTATCACAAAGACACTCACACATACACACCCATGAGGAGGTGAGATAAGATAAAACAAGATAAGATAAGAGTAAAAAATATATAAACAAAAGGAACAATACAAAACAGAAAGGTGTACATTGTAAATAAAATGTACACAGTGTATTACACATATTTCAAAAGTATCTCCACTGATAGAAAGTGATTGTTGCACAGTTAAACTGGCTGAAAACCTGAGAGAGACATGTTGTATAATGTTGGAGCTGTGCAAGGTGTATAGGTTGTAAAACACACACACACACACACACACACACAGCTCCTTTTTGTTTGAGCTCCTTTTGCTTAGATGCAAATCGAGCATGTTGACTGCGTCTTGACAGATATCTGGCTTCAGACGGCCTCGTGTCATCATGTGTCTGCTTCGGTGACTCAGCCGATCCTCAGTGACACAACAGCTCACACTCTCACTGTGGTTTGACAGCTGTGATAATGGGAAACAGAAAACGTGATCAGCGACTGAAGTCGATGACACCTGCACCAAACACCACACACTCGTAGACATCAGTCCTCCGAGCAGGCCTGATGTATGTGGTGAAAAAAGTCCTATCTTGCAATTCTAGTTTATAAATCATTCATAGTTTATTTTATGTTTTGTGTTTCCTATCCTTAACAGATTCAATTTAACTTCATTTGTGTAGCGTCAAATCATAATATTCATTTATCTCAAGGCACTTTACATAAGATCACCTCCCGATTACTTGTAATCACCAAACAAAAGTGTCACATGCTCGACTATGAATCCTGGTTGTAGTCGGTGTTTTGGATTTGCATCCATGTCTGTTCTGCGTGTGTCCCCATGTGCCTTTTTACCCAGCGAGCTCTAGACTGTGACTGTGGACTGCCAGGCGGGACACATGTTGTGTGTATATGTGTGTGTGTGTGTGTGTGTTTTAAATGAATGCGTCAGCAGAAGCGGGACTGTGGCACACTCCCAGTGAAAAGGAAGGGGGATGGGAGGGGAAGGGTTCGCTGGATGATGTTTGGCCCGGCAGCTGGGAGCTGCTCTGTGCTTTTGTTCCCTGCTGACCCCTCTGACCTGGCACTCGCCCTGATGTCACACACACACACTTTCATGCACCTGCACAGTCACACACACACACACACATTTATGCACCAAGATATATGTAAATGTGGGAATTTGCTAATATACACACACACACACAAACTCACACTGTTCAATAGGCCAGGCCCTGTGGGGACGATATATCATGACTTAATAAGGGAGCTGTGAATGTGTGTGTGTGTGTGTGTGTGCACGCTCTTGACAGTAGAACTATGAATGTAAGATTCCATGAAAAGTTCTGTTGATCATTTCCTGATGTCGTCCTTTTGGCATCTGAAGATCTTCGTTCTCCAGGAAACCAGATGCTGTATAAGTCATAGCAAAGTGTTTAATTTTGTTATTTCTGCTGAAGCACTCTTCAACTTTCAATGACGCGCGTTACGTCGTGTGTCATTGTGCTGGTGGAAGTTTGTGCGTGTAGACCGTGGCAGTAATTTAGCGGAATGTTATTATTGGGCCACTTAAAGGAAGGAGATTACAGAAGAAAGACATTCGCGAGAACTGTTTATACATTATTTTATGCTGCGTGTCATTTTAGAGGATTATAAATGATCTTGTAAAAAATACTTTGGGCTCATCTGACTTTAAAAAGATTGTTCAAGAAACTGAGAGAATTCTGAAGAACGAAACGTCCATTATGTGGACAATGAGACTGGTTCAAGGTTTTAGATCCAGAAGGAGTGGCACTGGGATAAGTACATGGTTCTCCTTGCAACTTAGATTTTCCTTTAGTCGTGTAATCTTATGACTTTTTTCTGGGGAAAGTACAACTTCATTCTCAAAACAAGATTTCTTAACTATTATATTACGACTTTATTCTCGAAATATTACATTATTTTGAAATCTATTATGAAAATGACCAAATGGGTTTAATTCCTGAAACGTAACTGAAAGAGACAGCGGAGCCAGGGGTGAAGTCATGTCATCAGTGTGCGTCTGAACACACGGTACCGTGCGTTCCATTAGGACGGACTGTTGATTGAAATGATCCTCAGATGAAATCCTACATTTGCACATGAAACTACGATTCCAAACACGCAGAGCAGGTTTTAGTTTTATTGGCCTGAATGAGGAGGTAAATCCCAGCAATGTGTCCGGCTGCTGAATCACTCCATCTTCATTACACCAAACACGAGCCTGGGTGAACAGCAGGTGGTGTGTGTGTGTGTGTGTGTGTGTTTCCATGATGCCTCCTTGCCTCCTCAGATGACCCATAGGGCATTGGGCCTAAGGCCAACCTTTTGTGCCTTCAAAGTCTGATGACCCCGTCCCATCCCCCTCGACACACACACACACACCATGTGGCCTGGCCCTGTTTATTTGGCTTCCCTCTTCATAGGTATAGGAGCATGTGTGGGGGCTGTTAGAATAGCATTATGTCTGTAAAGTGTGTGTGGATGATACCAGCTGGACGACTGCTTCTTCCCCCTGTAGCCACCTCTCAGGCGTTATTAAGGGGCTGCAGTAATCCCCGCTGCCTGGATCGGTGTCTACGCAGTGAGCCTCGGCTCCTGCTGTTCCTTTAGCGGCACACGTTCACCCCTCCGTGTGGATTTTTCTTATCACACATACACTTTCTTCCGTCCTGTTCCTCTGTCTTCTCTCGTCGCTCAGGATAACACTGGGCGTTCGGAGTAATCTGGTGGGGACTTCAGTGAAACATGAGTTCTAAGGTGGAGGCTGGTTGTGTAATAGGCTGTTATTCGATCTGTGGTGTTCCAGTGTGGTGCTAAATGAGCGCTGAGGACATGAATCAATTAATTAGCAGGGCGGACACAAAGATTCA